TTGTATGTTATTTCCTTGTGATTCCAGTTTTTTGATTTAATAAAATTGTTATTTTCGGTTAATCTTTTTATTTTTTTCAGGAATTTCAAATTAATTTATATTATATTAGACGATGGAAGTCCGAACTGATGAAATACACCACGAAACATTGTCAACCACCTTCAAACAAATATTGAAAGTTAATTGTGGCCCACATCTATCCAAACTCGACCAAATGGCTCTTAATGAATTTCACTAGTTCATTTGATCGAAGATTTTTCAGTTCAGTTGGCTTGAGTGAAACTAGGCCAAACACTAAAAAGCTGGTTCAGTCTCCAACAAGACAGGCACAAATTCTGCTGTTTCATCATTTTCCAAACGAAGACTGAATGCACTGTCTTTTGACAGTCCAAACGGCTTCATATGATGACACAGAAGAATACCTGTTAACAACGTAGGTGATCAATGATGTACACTAACAATTGTTTGGTAATACACGATGTATAAATGACTTGGAATGGGCCAATCCTGAAAGATACCAAAAAACTGAAACTCTTATCGCAATCAAGGCAATCGTGTTTTTGGTGAAGCCTAAAGCGATGCCAATAATAGATTCTGGTCCTATGTAGTGCTCTTCCTTGCAAGTTAGTCAGTACCTTCATCAATTTTCTGGCCAGTGTGGTCAGGAATCCAATCCAGGGATAATTTTTCAATTCTTCTTACTGAAAAGATTCTTTGACTTCCATTTTGGAGGTGGCTCGGTAGAGACTAGTGCTTCCAGAACCACTTAACTACTCGAGACCATTTTTATTCAATTATGTCTGAGGATTTCTGCCAGTCTCTCGACATATAAATCTTATGAGACCCTAGACAGATTGATATTTCTTTCTGTTCTGAGTCTGCAACTGTATACACCTACACCAGAACCTAAAGGTGGTATTGATCCTCTTAACTCGTAATGCAGGATAGTCATTCCCGAATTGAAAAAGTTGGATTCATCGGACCATAAATCAATAAAGAGTTGGGCATAGAATGGTCCATCCCAGGAAACTAAGAAAACTAGGTATTCAGTTACCACTTGATTTGGGTCAGCATGTAGAGCCTCTATACATTTATAGTGAAGGATGGTTTTAGGGCAATTTGAAAGGATCTACCAGAATATAAGACTAGAGAATATCTACTGTTGGCTCTATATGTATGCTTGTTTGTTATTAATGAATGCATCAAACAGCAGTGGAATGTTGCCTAGTTGGATTCACATAGAATGATAGACAGAATATCGTATCCATATTAATTACTTTCATAGTTGCTTCCTGGAAAATTCTCATGGTTACTGCTTCTCTCAATAAACATACATCAAACCGATATTCAACATTGTATTAGTGGGGAAAGGAAAGAATTCTCTTTTCATTCGAAACCAATAGATTTAAAACATTACAGAATGTCCTATATCTGTTGTGTAAATGAACAGAAACCTAACGAAAAACATTATTAATCAGTTTATGTACTAATGGTTGGGGTTCTATGGCAGTATTATTTTCAATCTGAAGTATGATTTAATGCATTTATGTATTTGGAAACATTCAGTTGATGTATTTATTAAAAATCTGAGAAAATTGTAAAAATAAAAAATGTAAAGAACGAAATAGAGGAACAGGTGTATCCTTCTCATCGCTTTTGTCAATTAATCTTCAGATTGTCAACGTATATTGAGAGCATTGTAATAATAATTATAAATATCGGAGACCGACTCATATCCGGCAATTCTTTAGAATTGATTTATCCATCAATCATGACTCTTCGCATTTCAGATCTACATCAACTCGGTTAGTTCATTCGCAATTATTTTTGAATACATTACCAAAGTAAATGAGCATGAAATTATTTTCGTATCAGATTTATTTATCTAACAAATACTCCATTATGCTGTCCAATTCCAGTGTATTTTACTATTAAACAGTTCAGGCTGAAAAAAAAGGTTTTACCACAACCCAACAGATTGAAATCACCAGTTTGTTCACATGTGACATACTTAAAATAATACATGTTATCAGATTCTTTGATCATAAGACGGGTTATATTAAAACTGCTAATTTAAAATAGCAAGTTCAAAACTAATGGTCCGATTCTACAAACACATATTAATTGAAGAAAAAATGACAAGGAGATTGATTCCAATCTTATTCAATATTTGTTTTTAAAAAATTATTTCTCTTCAATCTGACTTAAAATCCGCATTCAACTCGTATGAATTTAAGTTTAGATGGATTGATTTTGAATCTGAATACCTTCATTTGAAAATTGTTAGAATATGTTGATTTTCAGCGTTCTCTAAAATGTTTGTTATTACCAATTTTGAAATAACTTGCAAATTTATATCTTAGAATCAATTGGGTTTTTACACAGGGATCGGAACACATATCCATATCAACATGAAGTGGCAGGATTTGACAGCATAATATAGACTAGTTAATATTTCTATTAATGATGTTAATTTCTATAAAGAACTAAATTTTAACAGATTGAAATCAACGATGCTTATGATATCAGTCTAATAGATTATCTACTGTCAAAACTCAAAGACTTTCACGTATAGTCAGTGGGCATACTTGAAGACTGGCTATAAATCAAATCATCTAAAAGAACAATTCTTTCAGGCCAGTCTCAACACCCTACACAGTAGGTTAATGGACTGACACCTATCAGAAAACTACTACTCCCCTGGCTAATACCACGAAGGGCGTTAAATTATATCCGACAGGTGTCAGTGCAGGATTCTTCACAGAAGTTATTCCTGCATATATGCTATTGGCGATACAACTGCCGCAATAGATTTTCAATTATTGGAACATACTTGCCGACCGGTTTCGGGCTGTTTGGCCACTCGTCAGTGCAAAGTAGTGTATATCATTAACATAAAGTCGATGATTTCCGATAATTGAAAATCGAATTCCGTCAGAGTATCATTCCTCGAACTAAGCTGAACCAGGGGAGTAGTTGTTTTCTGATAGGTGTCAGTCCATTAACCTACTGTGTAGGGTGTTGAGACTGGCCTGAACGAATTGTTCTTTTAGATGATTTAAAACTCAAAGACCTCAAAGCGATTAGGATGCATTATCGATGGAAACTCATGCAGGCAGCACCATCGCCCCGTCTTCTCACGAATAACTTAATAATTCGAAAAAATCGCAAAAAAACATCATCGTCAGCGCCCAAAAGAGATTGTCTCATAACAATTTATTTTTGATTGCCTGCGTGCAATTAACAGATTCCATCAGTAAGTCCCAGTCACTATCACATCGTCCAGGTTATGCTCTCGATGGTAGAAAGCAACGAAATAAGATATTTTAACTTCCCCAAGATAATCCTCTGAACCTCACTCCTGTCATGTAATGTCAAAATGGTAAGGTTAAATTTGTCAATCTCTTATGTGACACTAATGAAAGTGCACAATTTTCATTTCCCAGAGATTTTGAATTTCAATTAGCACTTCTTAGTATCAATAAGAAACCAACTGCATCCACAATTTTCGCCTCCCAAAGTGACATGACAGAGAACAGGCAATGAAGATTTTCCCCCTAATCCACTCGTATATGAATAAATTATAGTTACCTGAAATCCAGCCCAAAACTTGTACGACCATTCATTTATAATGAAGTCATAATAACTAGCCCATGGATCGGTTGCAACGGCCTTTTTCTCTTCTTTCATCTCTTCTAAGTGCGGATGGTCATGAGCATAGTCATGGTCATGGGCATAATCATCCGACATACCTCTGGATTGCCTTGCACTTGCCATAGCTTCGTCATAATCTTCTAGCCCTTGCTCGTATCTACAGAGGTCACATTTCATGAATAATTCAGATTATATCGAATCTAAATAAATGAATATATATCACAGCTTAGAAATCGCATATTTAATTTCAGTTCTTCGTTAAATCACCCACTGGTTAACAGCATTTTAGAATTGGTAAAATTATAAACATGCTTATGCTACAATAACCAATGCTGTGAAAATTGTTAAAACACTTTTTGTGTAGAAGTTCCAAAGATGCATGTAACTGTAGAGTGGTTATTTTACATACATTCCTAACAAATGATTTCACGTCTCTGACGTCTCATTTCAGTTAGTCTTTTTCGGTATCGCAAATCGCTCAACAAAGACGTATGTAACAAAGAACTGGCGAAACCTAGAATTATAGACAACCCTTCTACAGAATATTATTGGAATTCTATCCCAACACCAAACCGTTATTTTTAAAACCTCGACACAGGTTTCAATCACCAGGTGATGATCTTCAAAAGGAAGATTCAGTTATTTTTAACACCTCAACACGTGTTTCAATAACCGAGTGGTCATCTTCAAGAGGAAGATTAAACTGAATCTTAAAGTAAATCTTGAAGATTCACTTTAACCAAGTAATCATCTTCAAGAGAAATATTCAGTTTAATCTTCCTCTTGAAGATGATCACTTGGTGATCGAAACACGTGTAGAGGTGTTAAAAATAACGGTTTGGTGTTGGGACTAAACTGTAGTAATATTCCTTACTGCACCAAAGGTTCCAAACAGTGCATCACAAGAACTTTTCTATAGAACTGAATACCTTTGTCAGCGAAAAGATTAAACAACAGCTATATTCAACAGCTATAACCGAGAGTTGAGAGATCCAACTGGAGAAGCTGCAGGCATTTATATAGGAGGATCTCCCGAATCATCCCCACATGACATCCTTATAAAGTTCTATATTCTATATTAGAAACTCTATCCAACTGAAAGTGAAACTGGGAGTATGATAGCAGAGGTAGTTGAAGTATTAGTAAAGTCATACTTTTCTAGTTTCAAGGCAGTTCAAAGAGCAACAAAGCCCTCTGCTTCAAGAATGTACAAGTGACTCCAGCAAATCTAACAGCATGGAAAAGAAATCGGCATAACCTAAAGTAGGTCTCCAAAAAGGTTGAAAAGCTGTGGAGGAAAACTATTGTGGTGTTATGGAATACATCCAATCATTCATATATTATTCCTGAATAATGAAGAAAAAAATACACTTCCTAATAAGAAGCAAACTTTTAGCAGTGGATGCGCTTCAAAAAAATGCATATTAATACTAAACACTGAAATTCACAACCAATACTCTGCAATGCCTCATTTAAGGTATTCGAAAAGCGATTGTGACAAAGTCAATGGTTCTGTGTGTTTTTATCCATCAAAATGTTTCATTTGATACATACAACGTACCTACATATCGCTAGATCATCGTGGTAGTCACTCTCTGGAAAGCGACAGTAGAAGTGACTTCAAAAAAAGGTTATTTCCAAGAAGACATATGACGAGTCTTCTGTGGTCTTTGAGACATGATACAAATCTACACGAATATGACTGCATGATTGAAATTAGCTACTGTCGTAGTTTTTTCCCAAAGCTTCAGTTTTTCAACCCGTATTTTCAGCAAAGTATTCGTAAAAATGAGGGTTTTGAAAAATTAAATAGATCTACTGCTTATTCCAAACACACTTCGAGCGTAGAGTCACTTAAGACTCATTGCTATGGAGGTAGGTAGGTAGGTAGGTTTAAAGTGAGTGGGTCTATTCGACCCTCCATACCCCAACCCGCAACGGTTTATTGTGGCTCACACCTATTCACACTCGGCCAAATAAACCCAGCTTCTTAACGAAGCCGATTAGTTTGTATGGTGAGTGGTCTTTCAGGTCAGATGGTGAGAGTACGGATCTGCCGAACTCAAAGAACCTGATTCGGTCCCCAGCGGGGCAGGCACAAAGTATATGCTCTGTACTTTCATCATTTTCCAGACAGAGGTGACACACACCTGTCTTCCGACAGTCCAAGTCTCTGCATGTGATGATTCAAATGACAGTGACCTGTAAGAAGGCCTGTTAAACATCGTAGTTCATCCCTACTATAGTCCAACAACTGTTTGGAATCAAGTTTTGAAGGGTGAATAAACGCCTTGGAGTGAGCCAATCCTGGAAGATTTTGCCAGAAGTCCATAACTCTTCTTGCTATCCAGGTGTTAAGTGTTTGTTTGGCAAAGCCCAAAGCGATGCCAGTGACAGGTTCTGGTCCAATGAAGCCGCTTGCAGCACCCTCCTTTGCGAGAGAGTCAGCAGCTTCATTGCCTTCCAGGCCAGTATGGCCAGGAATCCAGACCAGAGACAATCTGTTTAGTCTTCCTATCGAGGAGAGTCTTTTTCGGCAGTTTGCTACCAATTTAGACGTTGCTCGGTGGGAGCCAAGAGCTTCCAACGCCGCTTGACTGTCCGAGAATATTTTTATTGACTTGTGAGTGAGGTTGGATTCATCCAATCTCTCCGCACACAATTCAATAGCGTAAATTTCCGCTTGAAATACAGTCGCATAGGTTCCTAGGCAGGTAGACAACTCTGTCCTGGGTCTGCGACTGGAAACACCTGCACCAGAACCGGAAGGTGTTTTTGATTCATCTGTGAACCAACAACTATCTGCTCTTAATATTTCCTTCTCCCGCAGGATCCAGTCCTCTCTACTCGGGAATAGTACTTTATAAGGCAGTTCGTAGTTGATAGTTGGAGGCATAAAGTCAAAGGTCATTTCCAGAATGCTGTGACTTCCAATGTCAACCAACAGTCTGTTGCTATGGAGACTCACTATGGAAAATAAAACTATCATGAGGAGAAGTCAAGTTAATGAATACACGGACTCTCATAACTGCGAATCATACCGTCAATTTCCATGCATGATATTTGTAATGAAATTTTCCGGAGAACTGAGCTGAAACCAGGAGTTTTTTGCATATGCAGATTCTGGATCTTTTCTTATCAAAATCAATGCCAAACACACAGATGTTATGTCAGCTAGTTATGACTTCGAGATGAAAGTTTCAAGTGGTTACACAGGCAAAATCGAAATTGGCACGTCCTAAGAGCATCAGCTAGATTGAAGTTTATTGATGATTCCACCATATTTCAGCTACCACCATGTTCTATGCATCTATGAAAGAAGCTATAGTACAGCTGATGAGATCTAGGACAGATTAAAATAGAGCTGTCTAGTACTGGACCATAGATCGAATTCCTTTGGGCTCTGGTTTCTCCTAGTAACCTGCTGACGATGAAGAAATCGATTTCCTCACGATGAGGACGGCAGTAGACCTTTCCCTGGTTCAAAGCCAAGGACTCCCGATAAACCACATCAAGGAAGAATTCTGACGATGTATATTTTATCAAAAATTATGTCACAGAGATAAAGTACCTGGGTATTAAATCAAACTAAAATATCAATCAGCCTATCGCAACAAATAACTGAATAATAAAGAACTGAGGAACTTATAAGGCATTGCTAGCTACAAAGTAGGTGGCAAAAGAATATAATTTGATCATTAGTGGTTTTATAGCAAAAATGTTTTTTCGTTATATACGCGAATGCTTACCTCTAACTGATTCATGTTTTTGATACTGTTGCGCCTTGATATTGAGAAGTATTGCCTTTTTAAATGTTATGAAAATGATCAAAACCGTATAAAAAGTTCATTATATATAAAGAATCAAGAATAAATGCAGCCAACTCAACAAAGTGGATTCTTTGATACTCACGATCCTAGTATGAAAAAGAATGTTGTTGGCTTCAGTCAATCAATTTGATTAAGATAAAATTCTCTATCATTTATACTTTTCAAATATAGCTTTTCTGAATACAAAACTTTGCATCTTGGACCATGAACAAATTTTGATGGCTAAAAAATTGTAACTTATAATTGTCATTTATAGAATTTCACCCTCTCGAAAACTCATTTCGTTTCAAATGAAAATAAGTTTAGGATAAGTTACGCAAAAAATTCTTACAAAAGTTCTATGAAAAATAAAACTAAATTCTTGTCTAACAAAAGTTCAACGAAAATAAAAACTCACCTTGATTTTGTGATAATCTCAACATCAGGTTGTTCCGTTGTAGCAACAGGAAAAACTTCCGTAGTTGACACTTTACTGGTACTCAGCGAAAGAGTTAACGAAAAACTTCCGTAAAGCAGCACAAAACGAATCAAATTATCACAATTGAATTGCATTGTTAGTTTTTTTTATTTCATGAACACAAGTGCTATGAAAAATATATCTCCGTCTCAGAACCTAATTTCAGAGAATGTATTAAATCGCGATGAAAAAAAAATGTGAATCGGTCAAAACCTTAGTTGCCCACTAGGTTAGGAAAACTATTAGTGATTATAATTCAGCAGTACTGTAACTAACGGGCATGATAGAGGTAATAATTTGGATAGCAAACAAGAATCATGATTCTGTTAGTTATATATACATTCCCTAATATCTGGAGTAAAAAGACGTATTTGTTAATTGTTGATACAGTGTACGGTATTTAGTTCATTCGGTACCCGAAATGGTGTCGTTATCAAACAAGAGGAAAATGGGTACAGTGGGAACTGTTATTTTCATTATAACATTTGAATTCCAATTATTAACTTTGTCGTTAGCAAATATAGTCTGACTTCTTACAATGTATACTGAAAATGAGGGCATACGGAAAATTTAAATTATTTTGTTGATTCAAAAGAGTGCCAATATTACTTTCACATGAGACTTCATAACAATAAACCTCCAACTTATCTTTGATCGATGGTGGATCATCAACAAATATTTGAAAAAGAATAAATAACAACAGTCATTTATAGATGTACTTTAACTTTCATAAGGGACGGTCTATGTGACCTCTTATTTAAGGTTGAACTTGACACTTTATTTTCATGTAATATTCATTCAATGGAATCCACATTGCTTGAGCCCCTACTTCATACGAGCTTTCAGCAGCCCATAAAAAGGAAAAATGTGGAAATCTGCAACTACATAACCAGGCGAAGCTCTATGGTTTACAGAGACAGGCTTGTCTGTCCATCAGTACCACACCGTCAGCGGCCATGGAGATCCATCTAGATATACCTCCTCTCCACATTGTTCTGGAAAGAGAGGCTAGATGGACTGCATACAGACTTGTGCACATTGCCATTTGCACAAATCAATTCAATGCAAAGTGCAACAGACTGTTGGTTGACATTGGAAGTCACAGCATTCTGGAAATGACCTTTGACTTTATGCCTCCAACTGTCAACTACGAACTGCCTTTTAAAGTACTGTTTCCGAGTAGAGAGGACTGGATTCTCCGGTAGAAGGAAATATTAAGGGCAAATAGTTGTTGGTACACAGATAGATCAAAAACACCTTCCGGTTCCGGTGTTTTCAGTCGCAGACCCAGGACAGAGATATCAACCTGCCTAGGAACCTATGCGACTGTAATTCAAGCGGAAATTTACGCTATTGAATAGTGTGCGGAGAGATTGGAGGAATCCAACCTCATACACAAGTCAATAAAAATATTCTCGGACAGTCAAGTGGCGTTGGAAGCTCTTGGCTCCTACTGAGCAACGTCTAAATTGGTAGCAAATTGCCAAAAAAGACTCTTCTCGATAGGAAGACTAAACAGATTGTCTCTGGTCTGGATTCCTAGCCATACTGGCCTAGAAGGCAATGAGGCTGCTGACTCTCTTGCAAAGTAGGGTGCTGCAAGTAGCTTCATTGAACCAGAACCTGTCATTGGCAAATCTTTAGGCTTTGCCAAACAGCAGTAGGGATGAACTACGATGTCTAATAAACCTTCTTACACTGTTATTTGAATCATCATATGCAGAGACTCGAACTGTTGGAAGACAGTGTGTATCACCTCTGTTTGGAAAATGATGAAACAGCAGAGTACATACTTTGTGCCTGCCCCGCTGCGGACCAAATGAGATCGGTAGAGCCGTTTTCTTACCATCAGACCTGAATGACCACTCATCATACAAACTAATCGGCTTTGTTAAGAAGCTGGGTTTATTTGGTCGAGTGTGAATAGGCGTGAGCCACAATTAACCCTTGCGGGTTTCGGTGGAAGGTCGAACAGACCCACTCACTTTGGACCCAACCTAACCTAACCTTCAATTTCCTTATGATTCAACCCTCAAGATTGCTTAATTTTTCTCTGTCAGTTATCTCGAGTGGTACTTTGAAACAAAGTTTCTCCTCATTCAAAAAATAGTTTCATGTACTTTGTGAAAAGGATTCCAGAATGACTAATAGGTACACACATTATTATATACACGATGCACTTCTTTCTTGATTTATAGTTGTTTTCTGTTCCTCAGATGAATAGTTGTGATCGTAGTTCCTCATAAATATAGAGAGACCAAACGAAAATTGAAATATTTTGATCAGAAACTACGTCAACTTTTGTAGGAACCTTACGATTTCTGATCGATATTTTCTGAGAATTTATTAATTCGTAGTTAATATTGAATATTTAAAATATGTATACGCGTTGCGTATTTATGTTGACTCCTCAGGTAGTTTGGTGAGCCAATACCTGTAACTGGATTTGGTAACCTACGTAAAGCGTGTTTATGTTGACTCAGGTAGTCTGGTGTGATACTACCTGTACCTGGATTAGGTCTGTAGTTTCTTGCATGCTCCTTCAAGCCTTGTTCCCATGGATCTTTTGGAGGTTTTCAAAACCACCAAGAAGATACAACAAAGTCTCAGGTCGGCTATAGACAAAAAGGAGCAGCAGGGGATTATCGCATACCGTGCACTTGTGGGAAGGTATATATCGGAACCACCGAAAGATCGATGTGAACAAGGCTGAAGGAGCATGAGAGAAACTGCAGATTAGGCCAAATGGACAAGTCGTCTGTGGCAGAACATGCACTCAGTGAAGTAAACCACAGGATTCTGTTCGAAAACACGGAACCCATTGTCTCCGACCGGGGATACCATAACCGACTGGTACGGGAGGTAATAGAAATGCACAAACACACGGATAATTTTAACAGTAAAAAAGAAGCTGTGAACCTCAATCGAATATGGAATCCCATTCTTAGAAGTCCAAGAATAGCAAACAGCATGACGGCAGGCAGAAAAGGGTAATCTAGACACAGGTTTTATCACACCAGACTAGCTGAATCAACATAAACAAGCTTTACGTTATTAACCTAAACCAGGTACAGGTATTAGCACACCAAACTACCTTAGGAATCAGTTAAATATGAGAAGTATCTCCCCAGATGGTAGTAAGCATCTGAAAATAGACTTGTAAAACATTGAGTTGATCCAAGAAATTTAGCAAGTTTAAAACTTGTCATCTGTCCAGGTTCATGCTTGCTATGTGATGAATTCGAATCGAATGGAATTTTGCTGGTTTCAATACATATTAAGAAAAAAATTGAGATGCATACCACCGACATCTACTTCCAAGTAAAGCATAATTCAGTTAGTATTAGTTGAACTGACTATTTTCAAATAAAAATACTCTTTGACCCTTAGACGACATCTCTGAAAATATTCAATCGAAAAAATCCTGAACACTTCAAAATAGTACTTGTGATGCACCGTTTGGAACCTTTGGTGTAGTAATGAATATTACTGGAGTTTTTTCCCAACACCAAATCGTTATTTATAACACCTCGACACGTGTTTCGATCACCAACTGATCTTCTTCAAAGAGGAAGATTAAAACTACAAACTAATGCGAGCTAACCTATTTATGCTAGATAGGTATCCCATACAGGTAAACCATCCAGGCGTACCAACCATCCAGGCATACCAACCTAAATTAATTTTACAATGTTGCCTTATCTATTATTTAACAATATATGTTTATATAAAACAATTTTCAGCTATATAAAAATTAATTTCACAATATTGCCTATCTAAATTTATTTTTGCAATGTGTCCTTATGTAGTAATCAGTAAACCCAACAACATTATTTTAACAAGCTGTATATTATGCTCTTTGGTATAGGGCCGTCATCGTTATTCATAATATTATTGTGTTAACTTGTCCAACTGATCTTAATGAACTGAAGTCTATGGAATGGTTTTGTTGCAGAATATGATGTGCGACTGTTGATTTTTCAGGTCTTCCATATTTTAAGTGTGCTACATATGTGTTCCTTATATCTTACTTCAATAGATCTTTTTGTCTGTCCATAATATTTTGCATCGCAGTCCTTACATTCAATTTCGTATTCTCTGTAGTGTATGACTTGTTTAAAAAACCACCTTCATATGTAGTTGGTGGTGAAGAGGACCGACACTAAGTGGGAAACATCTGTATACGGAAAACCCACTCATACGGGACAGTATCTGAACCACGAATCCAACCACCATCAAAATTTATTCAATTGTTCTATTTTTACTTGTATTTTATTTCACTATTATTTCATTTCAGGTTTATTTTGGTTAATATAATTCTTATTTTCAGCTATCTCATTTTTAATTCTTCTTTTTTAGTTGTTTCAGGGATTTCAAATAATTTCATATAGTAGACAATGGAAGTCCGAACTAGTGAAATTCAACGATTTGGTGTTGGGAAAAAACTCCAGTAATATTCTTTACTTCCAAAATAGGATCACTAAATTTAAAACAATAGTTGTACATCGAACTTTTTTCTTCTTGGGAAGAAAGGTTTTTACTTTACCATCTTCGTACAAAAAATGTGGAAAATTTGCGAAGAAAGGAAGAAAGCAATTAATTTCGAAAAAACACTTTGCAAAGATGTGTAGACCATGCACAGAAGTTAATTTCAGATACAAACCGGAAAGAAACAGCCCTCAAGAAATAACTACTCCCATATGAACATTGAATTATACGAAAATCACCCAATTCTTGCCAGTTTCTTGTTCCTTACAGTTTGAATATTACTGGAGTTCCCAACACCAAACCGTTATTTTTTTTTAACACCTTGATACGTGTTTCAATCATCTTCAAGAGGAAGATTAATCTTTCTCTTAAAATTCATTATTACGCCAAAGGTTCCAAAAAGTGCATCACAAGTTCCTTCAAGTTCACCGACGTACTACATTATTACAATCTAGATATCCCATATATTTATCATATATTTTTGAAGTATATACAAAAATTATAATAACAAGTTATTGACAAATTGGATGAATCCCAATAAAACTAATTCAAACTCACTATCATTTCTGGGATAATTTAATAAATTCCCCAAGTGTCCTTCATATAATTTGATTTACTTCAAAAAGTTTCAGTTCAAGGCAGCAAAATCTCGTAATGCATGAATATTTCATGTAACCCAAATATTAATGCAAGTCAAGTGAATATGTGAAAAATTTAAAAAACATTCAATAAGCAAAACTGGCTTTTTCAAATTTCGGCAGGCTAGTAGAGCCCTACGTTACGTCAATTGGTTGGAAAAAAAATCGTCAATTTTTATTGTTTATTGAACTCAAATCAACTACATAGCAATTTTATCATATATTTTTTGAGCATTATCTAAAGCCCGAGAAACATTTTTATGAATATTGTCGACATTTTGGATTTGATCAAAGGTCATTTCTCTAGCACCTCTCGAGTGCGATGATGCCCACTCGTGTTTCAAATCGATTTTATGTCTAGCGATGGACTTCAAAATAAGTGCAGTAACATAAAACATAAAGTAAATACTGAAATACAACGGAATGTACCAAAGTTTCCTGCCCAAATAGTAGTAACTGTAGTTGACGCTACTAACACGTTTATCTTCTGGAGCTTCAGTAGTTGTGTGTGGAATTTCCTCGTAAATGTGATGGTCGAAGTGTGGATCATCGTAGAGATACTTCGGAAAATGTTCTTGTGGAATGTGATCGTTAAAATCAGCAGGATGAATCGGTTCAACTTCTTTCGGATGTTCTTGGCCGACAGGAAAGTCTGGAGGATAGTAAATATCATCTATACTTGCCGGAGGATGGTTGGGAGCACCACCACCAGCCAACTGGCCGTTTTGCTGCATATTAGCACTGTCATCCGGACCTATATGATCTGGAACATTTTCAGGCAGAAAATCGTGAAGTGCAATATTATGGTCGGAAGGAGGAGCATCTATATCATCGTACAAATGATGATCATCATGGGTGTCTTTATAATCAAATGAACCATGATTTGTTGGTGACAATGGCGGTCCAAGTGTCGATTGCTTCGTAGACTCTTTTGGTTTCTCGTAGTTATAAGAATTGTCATCATCTGTCGGAGGAGCTGCATACGAATCAATTTCCGGTCCTGGGGGGTAAGAGTCTTCGCCCAAATCCGGTTTGACGTCTGGGGGATTGTAAGAACTATAAGGTGAGGTATATAGATCCACAGGAGGTTTATCACTAGCTGGAGCTACATTGAAAACAGCAGGAAATGAAGCTGGAGGCGAAGCTGCAACTGGAGGTTGATTCACTGGTGCAGGAGCATAAGTTGCTGATTCTTTATTATTTGGAGCTATTGCTCCATAACCAAAATATGGTTTAGGGTTGAATCTATCCTGAATCACTTCACCAACAGCAGGAATTTTCTCCACCTTTACATGGTCTACTTTTGGAGAAGGTTTCGTATACACTGGGTAATGACGTACTTCTTTAGCCTTTTTCTGACCACCGATTATATTCACATCAGATCTGCAGAAAAAATGAACTTCAGATGAAAATTGTAAAAGTTGTATTGTAAAATAAAATTGTATTGACGTTTAATTATGAAACTTTCGACAAATTTGAAAAAAGATAAACATACCTATGTGTCCAAAGTGATTGTCCGCTATTGCTTCTTCCTTGCAGAATTTGGGGTTTGGTCTCGTTCTTATTTCCTCCCCATCTAGCCACTTTTGCATACTTAGAAATCAAAACAGTTGTTTCATTTGGAGTTAGCCTTTTAGAATCGATGAAACAAAAGACCGAAAATATCAGCAAGACGCGAAACATATTCGTTTAGCGATAGTCAAACTAGAATCAAACAAGGTTTGGATGCCAAATGAAAGGAAGATAAGATCGTCATATATTTCATCCCTGTTTTACAAACACCAAAGGTGTTAATCATTTTGTATTGATGTTACAGTTATATTATCACGGCATTTCTGCTGGTTGTCCCATATATTTTATATTAGTGGATACCGTTGCTTTTGTTGTGAACAGAATTACACAATATAGTCTCGTGGAAATGTTTTATTTCGAGCTCTAGAATTTGAAACCAAAATAATTCGACGAACAGGAAGTCAGATCAGATATTATAGAACTGCTATATGATATGTTGTCTGAATTTGACACAGTTGGTTATTTTGTTTTACACTTTTGAATAGACAAGGGCAATTTAAAATTAAGGTAAATAAAATAACAGAGATATGGACCTGAGTTCAGGCAAAACTAATTGAATTTTTCAAAACACTGGCAAAGAAAATTATTCCAATTCATCAAGTGAACATGTGCAATTTAATAACGATTTGAATAATATGCTACTTGATGATTAATAATTTTACCTGAGCTTAGGTAAAAACTTATTGAAATTTCAAATGAACATGTAATAAACTAACCAATTTCCATATTAAAAACAGATTCAGAAGAGAAGAATTCAATTCTATTTGGCCATTCAGTGAATTTTCATTCTCAGCGTCAAAAGACATTGACTTACTTTGGTGAACCCACTAATGAAATACCCTTTTTTTGAAAACGACAGAGTTGGACGTGCCTTACCGGACAAATAATAATTTAACCAATATCATTAAAACCAATAAAGACAATCAGGATAGGTCAGGAGTTTATAAGTGGTTCTTGCCCAAAACTTTATATTGGCCAAACAGGGAGAACATTTTTCCATAGAACAATAGAACATAAAAGTAATTTCTTGGATGAGAAGACTAGAAGGTCACACGATTGAAATTGTTAGTATATGAAGCACAAATTGAGTAGAATTTAGTTAATATGAAAACGCTTGATAAAGCTATCGAATAGCCAAACAGCGGTTTTGTAAACTGTCTAGAGGAAATCTCACAACATAACAAACAAATATACGCACAGGTTTCTTATAGATTGCGAATAACTTCTGAAGTTATTCTATTAATTTCCACCCTAATTCGATTTTCCAACTTCAATGGATTTTAAGACTGAAAACCTCCCAAGGAAAATCCGGAGTTGTGAGATTTCGATATAAATTTCAATATGTGAAGCAACTGAAATCAAAAATATTGTCACAATAATACAATCATAAAATATATTGATGCCGGCGAGTGTTCTGTTGGGATTTTTTTATATCTCAGCAGGGCATTCGACTGTATCAATCAAGACATCAGGAATGAAAAATTGACTCAATTAGGGATAAGAGTTTGTTTTCAAACTTCATTCAAAATTGAAGCCGGTATATTAAAATAAATAATCTAATAACAGAGAAATTTCGATATCGGTGTTTCACAGGGGGGGAGGGGCAGTTCTGGTACAATTTTCACTCTATATCATTGATATTGAAAATTTGAAGTTTCCGTTTCCTTTGCCTTATTCGCGGACAACACGTCCGTATTCCATATGGAAACCTCAAATCAAGCGGGAAAACGTCTAAGTTGTACTGAATCGGAAGGTGAGAGGTGAAAGCACCGAAGTAACCTAATTATAGTCTCGACAGGATCAGGATCGCCAGGATTGAATAATTTCCTCACACAGTCCCTGTGTGAGAGCAAGTGAGACAACCACGCTGTCTGCGCATGCGTATATATTTTATATTAAAACAAATGGGTTCGAAATAGCAAGCCAAACTAAAAAGTAGAAAATAATAGTTTGAAAAACACGCTTTAATAGTAACACAAACTAAAAATAATTCGAAACTAATTTAAGATTGTGTTCAACATCGATAATAAGTCCTATGGCTTGATGTAACTGACTTTTAATAAGTCTGAAATCAGAATAAATCTATTTACAAAAAATTAATATTGTTGTTAAAAAGCGTGTGGTGCCAATCTGACAAACAGCTCCTAATCAAGTATTTATAATAATCGATATTTAGCACCCCATGCTTTTTTACAACAAAATTACTTTTTTTGTAAATAGATTTATTCTGATTTCAGACTTATCAAGTCACTAGTTACATCAAGTCATAGGACTTATTATTGATGTTGAACACAATCTTAAATTAGATTCGAATTATTTGGTATTTTTTTAATTCATTTTGATATTTTATGTATTTTGTTTAATTTTTTTATATATTTTAATGTTTCTATATAATCAACATTTCACTTATTCTTCACTATTTTTATTTATTATTATTATTTCACTATTCCTCAGAGATTACTATTTATAGGTCATTCGAACGCTTTCACCTATTCCCTCTTCCCCCTAACCGCTTTACCGGTTAAGCGGGAGTTGACCGTTTTCCGCTTGATTACAGGTTTCCATATGTTGCGTATCTCTACGCTAACTTGAATGAATGCGTCGTTGGACAAAATGTATACAGCTTCTTTGAACTTCCTCTTAAACTAGTGTTCCTTCCTGTGGATGATCTCAGCTTGAGCCCACCTGATGTTATGTTGATGAGTCCAAACATGCTCTGCTATTCCCGATTTGCTGGTTTCTCCTCGCTGTGTGTTTTTCTTGTGCTCGGCAATGCGGACTTTCAATGACCCCCCATTCTGTTTATATTTCTTGTTAAATCATTTTATTCACAGATAGTTTTGAAACTGGCTGTACTAAATCTTTAAAGCTGTAAAAACCATATTGTTTAAAATAAAATCATAATAATAAACATTATCACTCTAGCACTGTTGAACTCGGCAGGACTGGAGAATCATATCCCTGATGAGGTTATTTGGATTATCCAATCGCTCTTGCTGAAAGTGATCAACGGAGAAAATTTAGAAGACCACACAGTTCGTAGTATACTGTCGCTATTGAGAATCAAAAGATTTAGTCATCATTCTGGAAACAATCTCGAAAAAATAGAACACAAACATTCATATAGATACTATTGAAAGTTGAGAAATTAAATTTGAGTAGGAGGAAAAATAAAAAACAAAGTAATAAAGAGAGATTTATTTAAATCCTATTAGTATGATATATAAACATGACTTACCATACATAGAATCACATCATTGCTAAAAGTAAACAGTTAGTTAAACTTAGCAGTTAAGTGTTCTTGCAATTCGATAAACGAAGTTTCAACCGAGAATGAAGATTGTTTCAATGAAGAGCTTCGAATTTAAAAAAATAAGTAACATTAAAAGAGATCAAGCCCTTTATGCAGCAGTCGGCAGTTTGGGGCCATATCAGTATGTACAAAAATGAGCACATCAAGCCCCACCAAAATTTACGATTATCTACAATCTACTTTCTTATAATACTAAATTCAACAGAAGAAATGCAGAAAATAATATTACAAAAGTATTGTCACAAATACAATAGTCCTATTGTAAGAGTAACAGTTTAGTCATTTTGAATTCTGAAAAAATCTGAAGAATTGAAAATGA